CCAGAAAAGGTGTGACTATGAAGAGTTAAATAGCAGCAGTGGAGGAGTACAGCACCAGGAAAGACAAAGGTCCCTATAACTGACCCGTAATCAAGTCCTAGCTACAGAGGGCCCTCCTCCCTGCCAAGATGATGATGATGCAGGTCAGGGCCCAGCTGGCCATGGGTGAGTGGCCATGGAGCACTATCTGGGCTCTGGCTTTCTCCTGACCTGCTCCCCTTCAACCCTTTCTCCCTGACAGCTTCTTCAGCTGGAGCCCAGACCAATGGCCTCTGTGGTTCCTCTCCCTCCTCTCAGCCAAATTCCCACTTCCCTTGTATCCTCTCTCCTCCTTCAGCCCCCAGAGCTGTGCGTGCCCCTAAGGAAGTCGGGTGAGTCAGACTGTCCTCACTCTCCCCCAGGGCTGCCTTTCCACCTTCAGGTCACACCCTCCTGCCCCCAGCATCCCTCATACACACAATCCCACTTTCATGAGGTCCTTGAATCTGGCAAAGGGTCTTGCTCTGGCCATGCTCCAGGGGCACCATTGTCCAATCACATCCATCACCCCACTGCACAGAGTTCACAGGACCAAGAAGATGTGCCCCCCAGAGCCCAGTCCCATTTCCAACCCCTGCTCTTGGAATTCCTTTCCAGGAGGCCCAAGCCTGCCTCCAGCCCTTCCTCAGAGTGCAGCCTGTTCCTCCAGAGCCTGCATTCAGTCATGGGCAGCTACAGGGTGGCTATTTGTGGGAAGTCTGCACAAGGCCTAGGGTGTTGCACCCTTTTTATCATAGCAGAAGGCCACTTGCTATGTGGGCTGGAGGAGATGGCAGACCACACTGGAACAGGGAACAGGGAGAGACATTTCTGCAGTTGCACGTACCACACAAAACTCGAAGACATTCAGAGTGTAATCCTGACCTTCCAGGTCTTTCCAAAGGTATATTTGGCAAGGTAGGAGGATAGACCATGTTCTAGTTAACAATGAGTTCATTTGGTTCATGGCTTCAAAATACTTAGACAAATAGTATGAGGCCTCCTTTGACTCTTGCCCTAAGCCCTGTAAATGCTGAGGTTGGCCTGGCTAGCCCCAAATTTGATGGAGGAATGGAGATTTTGGGAAAGCTTTCACAGAGGAATAGGAGAGAGGGTGACATTGCATATCACAAAGCAAAACTTCCTAAACTCTGTGGATCTAGCTATGCTTTTCTTCCAAATTTCCTCCCTGTACTACAGCTAGCTCACCTCTCCCTTTTCCTCAGGAACCATCTCCTTGGCCTGCCTCTCCAGCCTTGCTAAATCTACCCTCCTCACTCTCCCACTCCCATGACCTCTCAAAATCCCCTTAGCTCCCATCCCCTCTGAGCAAAAGCATTGGGCCTCATTAAATAACTCTCAGCAAAGTAAAAGCCTATACTTGGCCTTGTTTGCTCTTCCCCATTTGTCCTGCCTTTTGTTATCACAGCCTACTTCCCCACACAGTTGTGTCTTTGAGTCATCTTTCCCAATAGGAAATGAACTTCTTGAGGGCAGACACTGTGTGTGGTTCAGCTCTGTGACTCTTCTAGCACCTTTTTCTTTGAAAGCATTCATGAAAGTTTTCATAGGGGAGTTGGAATCTGAGTTAGGCCTGAAAGATAAGTAGAATATGGAAAAAGAAGTCAAAAGAGAAATGGAGTTCTGAGCAGGAGCAACAGGAAAAGCAATGATAGATTCTTCATATCCTGTGGGCAATAGTGAGCCACTGAAGATTCCTGAACTAGGGCATGACAACACTTTAGGAAAAATCAATCTGTGCAAGGTCTACTGGAGTTTTGGAAAGCAAGATGCAGGAAAGAAAGCAGAGCATTTTAAGGGCTGTTGACATAACTCAGGCATGAGGACTGGATGTCAGAGTGCAAAGGCAGGATGAATGGATGGGGGTGGGGAGCAGTATTGGGCTCAATGAAATGACCCAGTAAAGGCCACACAGTTCAGAGTCAGACCTAGTAGTCAAGCTGTCTGATTTCATCCGTACTGAGTCTTAAAGGAAGTGAAGCTAGAACTGAGTCTTGAAGGCTGCTGAGAAGAAAGGAGTTTGGCCAGCAGGAAGCTCTACAAGCTTTACCCCAGGTTTACTACAAGATTCACTGCCCAGGGGCAACATGCCAGGAGGTCACAGGTTTCTGCAGGAGATTCTGGCTTTTCCCCTTTGGAGAAAAGTACAGTCCCTACTTTAGGCGGGGAGGGAGGCAGTCAGGGAAGAGATCATCTTAGCTCCTCTCCCTGGCAGGGGCAGGTAAATAATAATGCTTATATCCCCAAGTCCCTACCGCAGTGGTTCTCAACCTTCCTAATGCCTCCTAATGCCATGACCTTTTAATATAGTCCCTCATGTTGTGGTGACCTCCAACCATAGAATTATTTTCATTGCTACTTCATAACTGTAATTTTGCTACTGTTATGAATCATAATGTAAATATCTGATATGCAGGATATATTTTCATTGTTACAAAGGGGCTGTGACCCACAGGTTGAGAACCGCTATTCTAGGGCCAAGCTGAGGGACTTGGGGAGCTGTGATAACTCCTGACACCTTGCAGTGCTCCATGGCTTCCAATACATTGTAAAGTAATATGCCTGACCACCTACTTCCCTACCTCCCTACTCAATGACTCAGATCCACCTTTCAAGGCACCTCTCCCATGAAGCCATCACTCCGAAGACTCTGTAGGCTCATAGCCCTGTGCTTCCACTCTCAGTTACCATCTGCTACCCTCTGCAGATAACAGCCATGTGACTTTGGCCAAGCCACTTAACCCCTCTGTGTTCATCAGTAAAAGCTGACCCTTACCAGCTATTATGGTGAAGAAGACACTGCCTTGGTTTGCTGGTTCACTGTGGATCAGTCTCTCCTACCTCTCTGCAAATTCCACTGGCACACACTAGGCCCACTTACTCAATTTGCAAGCACTTACTGAGCACATGCTCTGTGCCAATCTTGGTGACAGAATCTGGCTTTGAGATAAATAAGAAGGCCTTGGGGTCCTTGGAGTCAAGGTGGACATGGACCTGTATAGAAAGAGTATGGCAGAGGCTGGCCCTGGGCTGAGGCTGTGTGAGTATAGTCCGGCACAAAGGAGGATGGGGCGGGCTCAATGGAACCAAAGCTGATGGAAATGAAATCAAACTATCCCACTTGACCACTTGACTTCAGCAATCACATTTAAGCACAAGGAGATGGCAACTCAATGAGAAAATTCCAGTGCCAGGAAGTCATGAACTAGGGCTGGGACCACAGCCTCTCACTTCTCAAGGAGGGAGGCTTCCCCACCTCCTCTTCCCCAAACCTCAGTCTTTCCCCACAGTCTGGCAAGCTAAAGGACTTCCGGGCAACATCCATTCATTCCCTGGGTGCAGCCTGGTGCCAGCCCCTGGGCTCTAGGGTATTTTTAGTTCTGGGTGGCCAGGTCTAGTGGTGATTGGCAGTAGGCAGAGCCCTCTGTGTTGCTCCTGGCTCAGCATGAGAGGTGGCTGGACACGGGGAGGGGGCTTAGGCATACCTGGCACCCCAGCCCACAGCTGCCTCCTTGTCCCTGGGAGGATCTGGGCTGCTGCCACCGCCACTGACCCGAGGCTGGGAGCATTCCTTCCTCTTGATTCATCGCAGGGAATGTTTTGGGCCAAGCTGGGGTGGAGCAGGGGCACTGGGGGGACATCTTGGACATGGGCTGCCAGGGTGGATGGCAGGTCCCCCAGCAGCAAGGTGAGTGTGACCTGACAGTCACCCAGGGATCAAAAAGGTCTCCTCCTTGCCATCCTAGCCCTATCACCCTCTGCCTGTGGCAGTGCTTGTGTGCACATCTGCCTCCCTCAGCAGATTGGGAAGGCCCCCTCCCAGCAGCTAGTACTCTAGCACCCTGTCTAGAATGTAGGAGAAAATCAATAAAGGCTTCCTGAATGAACGAGCCTTTGGAAGGACAGTCAGGCAAGGTAGGGGCAAGACGGGAGCCAGATTGGACAGGTCTAGGGATGAAGCCAGAGGCTGGAACTCTCTGCCCATGTTACAGATAGGGTCACTGAGGAGGGCTAAGACGGGACTGGGGGAAGGAAATTGGGGGTGGGATTATGGCACCTGAGTGCTCAGTTCAGCTGATGGGACTCCCCTATCAGCCATTTCTATATTTGTTTTATTCTGAAGCTGTCCCCCACCCCCACCCCCGTGTCCACTTACACTCTCTCCTCATAAGCCTGACAAGGCCAGGACCACCTCGTTCAAGAAGGAGACAATTCAGTCTCTTCTTCAATCCAGAAGTGGACAATTCAGGTTCTCCCACTTACTGCTTATTACCTGCAGAGAGAGCAAGTCGTGCCTCGTGGGGCTCAGTGTTCCCAGCTGCACAACAGGTGGCACAGAGTTTCACACCACAGGCGACCAAGGCAACGGAGAGGCGGGCCTGTTACTGCAAAGAGCGCAGTGGCCCATAAAATCCTGACCTAATCTGAACGCAGCCCCACCTCCCCAAACGAAGGACGTGTACATTGTCCTAAGCGTCCAGGCTCAGAGGATTTGGACATCTGCGAGGCGCTCCCACGCGAAGGGCGCTACGCTGTGCACTGGCACCTGCCAGGCCTCACTGAATGGGGCTCCAGGGTGGGCATTACGACCGCTCGGCAAGAGGGAACTGCGCCTGGGAGAGGGACTGGCCAGGCCCCTGCGGTACTCCCTGCAAACACAGCCGCTGACCGGACGCCGCCCTCTCCCAGAGCGCGGATCCACCCCCGTCGCTCCTGCTGCCCCGTGCCCCCGCGGCCCGTGTCCCCAGCGCAGACAGCGGCCCCCGCACCCACCGGTCCCCGTCAGGGACTTCCCGCCCGCGGCCCGGCGCCCCCGCCCACTGGCCCGCAGCCCGACCCGGCGCAGCACGGAGGGCAGGCCCGAGGGCGGGGCCTGCGGGGCCTCCTCCGCTCCGCTGGGGGTTGGGGGCCGCGGGCGGCAGGCGGATAAAAGGGCCCTAGGGTGCCTGGCAGGCCCGTGCCCTCTGCTAGCCTGGCCCAGCCCTCGGACTGTCAGCGCTCCAGCTGGTGAGCCCCTGCCTGCACGCTCTGCCCTTGCTGTGCTGTCTGCCCTTCTGCCTCTCTGTGACTCTGCAGGCCTCCTGAGGTTCCTGGAAGCTGGGGGTGGGAGGGATGGGGGTCTCATGGACGGTCAGCCTGGGCTGCTAGTTGCTCACCGACCTGCTTCAACTGGACAAGTGACCCAGTTGGGAAGCTTGGCCCAAGGCCTGCTCTGGGGCGGGGTGGTGCGCCCTGGCCTCAGGGTGCCTGCGTGTCTTATTTGTGAACATGCTGGGTGTGTGTAATGTTTCTCTGCCTTCCCTCCCATGGACAAGGCAAGGGAAGGGGCAAGGCGAATTTGGATGTCACTCTTATGACTTGGGGGACTAGGAGCCAGGGCAGATCTGAGATCTCCAATTCATCAGACCAGAATTAAATGCTGAAGGCTGAGAGCAAATAGGAAGTAGAAGGGCTGAGGGGTAGAGGACTTCAGTGTCCCCACCCCCTTCCTAGCCCTGGACGGTAGAGCTCTGGGCCCATTACCTGGCACTGCTTCAAGTCCACAGAATCAGTACCATCCCAGGAGGCCACTGAAAGGAGAAGCCCCACTCCCAAAGAGCTACAGAGAAGGGGCTGTGAGTGATCCCAAAGTTGGTATTCCCCCAAGACAACACTCCAGATGCCCTCTTCCAGCCCTCCCAACCTGGGCCAGGTCAGCCAGCTGCCATCATCCCCTGGCAGCACCTGGAATAGGTACCTCTCTGCCTCAAGCTGGCAAGGTCTTGGATCTGTCACTTGGTGGCACACAGTATGGGCACCCAGCCCAGTGCCCTCACACCACGGCCTGGGTCATAAATCAGCCAGCAACAGGGTGGAATTTCAGTGGGCTCCCTGTCTCCTCTTCTGCCTCCTCTTCCAACATCCATCACCCTTGTGGTTTCGAAAGCATGGCTTGCAGCCAGGCTGCTGGGGTTTGAATCCTGGCTGAGCAAGTTACTTGACTTCTCTGGACCTCCTCTTCTCTTCTGTAAAATGGAGATAAGTAGTCAATAGATATTTGTAACATATTATTGTCATCCTCACCTCCCTCCTCAGCTCCCTTCTACTCTACCTTCCTTCCCCTCACCTTTCTTCCTCACTTGAGTAAACAACAGCCCCTTTTGAGGCTGCTTCCTTTTCTGAGGGAGATGCTTCACTCAAGAGCTGAGGGACAGTGAGGTGGGGATGAGTTGTGGAGTCAGGAAGCAAACACACAAAGTGGTAGGAAGGTGGGAAACTAGGGGGCTGTCAATGGAGTGTAGCATTCAAACTGGCATTGAAGGATGTGTAAGAGTTTAACAATCTGAGATAGAGGAAAGGGGCACTTCTGTGGAAGGAACAATGACAGCAAAGGCTTGGGCACTCGGAGATAAAGGCTATGTTTGGGGAACAGGGAGAAGACAAGTTTGGTGTGAACCAAGGCTGTAGGAGGCTCTGAGGTGGGCAGCATGGCTGAGAAGACCAACTCCCCCTGTATCTGACTCGGCTCCTGCTGCTGCCCGTCCACCTCCTGGCCTCCTTGAGGGAAGGGAGCTGCCCTGGCCCAGACCCAGGGTCCTGCCTTGGGCAGAAGTCCTCCTTGCCTTTAGGTTGGTGCCTTAGAGAGGTGGGAGCAGTTGGCCTGGGACTGTCCATAGCCTCTACTAAGATCTCAGTGTCCTGGGTAGGTCAGCCAAAAGCCAAGCAGCAGACCTGCCCAGCCCCTAGGACCTATTAGAGCACATCAGGTAGGGACCTCTAGTGTCACGCCTCACTTTATAGGTGTTGCATCGGAGACTCAAAGAAAGCACCTGCCTCCAGACACACGACAATTTAGCTGGCGGAGTTGGGAGCAACTGACTCATGGAGATGGTAGTGGAGGTGTGGTCTTCACTCAATCCAGACCCAATGTGACCACTGGGTCCTAATCCTTCCTACCTCTCTTGTAATACAGCGAGTGTTCCCACCCACTGTGACTGGTGTGGTTCAGTCCCTGCCTGTCCACCTTCTCAGGAAGCACAGAGGAAGGAATGGAGACATTGGAAGGAGCAGAGGGCACTCTGCTCATGGGGATAGCCAGCTGGGAGCCCCTATGGGCCCGAGTGAGGAGTGGCATGCGGAAAATAGTATTTAAGTCTGGAAGGAAAGCACAGGAGAGTGAGAGTGGGAAGACACTGTGGAGGTGAGAATGGGGGTGGGGGCATGAGAGGAATCGGGCCCAGTAGTGTGGGTGGAAGAGAAAGGGGTGAATCCAGAGTGTGTTACAGAAAAGGGCACCAGAGACTTGCTCTTGAGATGGGATGTAGCCTCCATCATCTCCTTTGCACAAAGATGGGGCAGGACCAATCTAGACCAATGGCTCTGTAGTAGCTACTGCAATAGCTGTTAGCAATAGGTGACTGTTATTGAGGGCTTACTCTTCTAAGGGCCTAATATGTGTTCATTCACTTAATCCTCACAAAAATCCTCTGTGGAGGGTGCTATTATTATCCCTATTTTACAGAGAGATACTGAGGCAATAAGAAGCTAAATCAACTGGCCAAGATTACCTGGAAACTAAATGGCAGAGATGGGATTGAACCCAGGCAGACTCCAGTCTGTACCTTTGAGTTCTGTGCTCTGGTACCTCCCATCCCTGCAATCACTGATATTTATGAGTGCCACCTACATATTGAACACAGCACAAAGTTGCTACTCCCATGGAACTTTGTTCCCAGAGCCCACCTAGTGCACTGTTCAGAGCCCACTTTACCCTGCGCTGCTGATTAAGGTAGTTGAAAGGGTGTGGGGTAAGAGGATAGAGTACCTCCCTCCCAGACCAGCCATGGGGATGGAGTGGCAGGGGCCATGAGACTCTCCCTACCCAGGCTGATGAGCTGCATGATTCCCCAAGAGCAGCTGTGGGCATGGCAGAGGGAGGTCTCATCAGAATGAGTTTCCCTAAGACTCAGGCACTGGGTAGGGAGCAGGGAGCCTTCAACCACTGTTCTGGGTGGGCCTTGGCTTCCTGTTGGCAAAAGAGCTGGAGGGTGGAGATTGATTCGGCATTGGTAGCTCCAGAGGTCTGCAACGCTTCTAACCAGCTATGACTCTTTCCTTTATGCCCTTCCCACCCACTAGTCCTAGGACCAAGCCCACTCATATGTGAGGCAGAGAGGACCAGCCCCCAACCTCCTCCCGAAGAGCATCTGATGTAGCCTCCTGGAGACAAAGGCTCTCTGATGTGTGCCCCCTGCCTGAAATCCCCCCATAGCCCCTCATGAAGGGCAAACCCTCTGCATGGTGCCTCAAGGCCCTGGTCACTGGCCCAGCCTGTTCCTCCACCTCTTTCCCCTCTAAGGCCCAGTGCTGTCAAGAGAAAGGTGCTTCCTGCTCTTGCACAGATTCACCTCTTTCCCTTTCTTCCCTTATGCATCTGTTCTCTCTTCCTGGAATGCCTTTTCCTGCCCGGAACTTTTACTTATCCAACAAGGCACAGGTTATATGTCCCTTCTTTGAAAGCCTTCTCTAATTCATCCTCTCTGATCTTCAAAAGGGTACGAGTGTTTGATATCTTTAATTTCTGGGTCTAACCACCTGGCCTATTAATTGGCCTGAAGCAAATGCTCCCAAACTGTTGACTCACTGCAGGAATCATACACCTGGGTGGCTATCAGATGGTATTTGGTACAATCTCTGCATGTTGGAAATGAAACATGAGGGCCCCAAGAGCTTAAGAGACTTGTCCAAACCACACAACAAATGAGGGGGGGAATCGCTGGCTTCCCTCTGCTAACTTTCTACTCCAGCCTCCCGTATGCCTTCTGTGGTGAAGGTGACATTTTACATATTTGGTCAGGGTATGGAAACATTAAAAGGCAGGGGCAGCACCCCTGGGATAGATACTCTTGACCTGAGGGCACCTGGGGCTCCCCTATGACCTGCATATGAGACTGTATTAGGAAGCACTACTATTTACTAAGCGCTTAGTGCACGCTGGGCCTGTGCTAAGCACTTCCCATGCAGTGTTTTATTTTACACTTATGTCAACACTGTGAGACAGGGATTATTATCCCCCATTTTATACACAAGGAGATTAAGACCCAGTAAGGCTAAACTTGAACTTCCTCAAGGGGCCATGGCCCAATAAATGGTGGATTTGAACCAAATCAGCTAATCTTAGAGCCCAAACTCAGTCACTGCCACACCACACACACACACACACAAGCAGGGTGCCGTGTCTTCCTGCAGCTGCCAAATTGACGAAGAGGCCTGAAGTTGGAGTAGAGGTGGTGACCACTGTCACATTTACTCATTGCCAGGTGCCGTGACCCCAGCTGCCCTTGAGGTCACCATGATGTGGTTCCCCTCAGCTGCATTCTCCCTGTTCCTGCTGCTGCTGCTGCACCAGGCCCCTACCAGCAGGTCACAGTCTCTGGGTACCAAGAAGCTCCGGCTGGTGGGCCCCGGGAACAGGCCAGAGGAGGGCCGCCTAGAGGTGCTGTACCAGGGCCAGTGGGGCACCGTGTGTGACGATGACTTTGCTCTCCGGGAGGCCACGGTGGCCTGCCGCCAGCTGGGCTTTGAAGCTGCCTTGACCTGGGCCCACAGTGCCAAGTATGGCCAAGGGGAGGGTGAGTGACTGGTGCTGCCTGGCAGGCTGGTGAGGAGATGGTAGCAGGCTTCCCTCAGGAGCTGGGCTCACTGAGACTGCCACAGACCACATCAGATACCTTCTGGTCCTTCAATACCCAGCTCACACAACCTCCTCCCTGACCCATTTCCTGAGTGCCCCAGCTGCAAACAACCCTTGCTCTCACCTTCCCATTCTCTCTTATAATAAGCCTAACACCAACACTATCACTAAGTAAGTTCCTTGGGCATAGTGATGGGCACACAGTGGGTGCTTAGCAAATGTTGTTGAATGAATGAATGGGCAAATAGCCTGGCCTTACTACACCTACCTCGCATTTTCCAAAAACAGATCCTTTAAGACCTGATACCCAGATAGCAGGCAGGGTTGTGGATCCTGAGACCCCAGGAGAACCAACACCCTCCCCGCTTCCGCTCTCTGGCAGAGTTTGGAAGAGGAGGCTTGATGAGCGTGTGTTCCTATCCAGGTGGCAGGTGAGCCTCTGGGTGCCACCCTTGAACATTACCCTCCCCTCCCCCACAGGACCTATCTGGCTGGACAATGTGCACTGTGCAGGCACAGAGAGCTCCCTGGACCAATGTGGGTCTAATGGCTGGGGTGTCAGTGATTGCAGCCATTCAGAAGATGTGGGGGTCATGTGCCACCCCCAGCGCCAGCGTGGCTACCCTTCTGAGAAGGTCTCCAATGCCCTCGGGCCCCAGGTGAGGAGGCTGTTTAGGCCCTAGAGGAGAAGGGAAGGGAATGCAAGCAAAGCTTGTGCTAACCAGCATCCCTGGGGCCCTGACCCTGTGTGGCCAAGAGCAGATGCATGGAGAAAGGGCCCTAACTCGAAACACCTGAGCACCAGGGCTGGGCCTGCTGAGAATCACAGAAGTTGTTCCCTTAAGAGATGCAGCAGGAGGGTAAGGGGGCTGTTTCACCCACAAGGCCTGGCCACAATTGCTGCCTCTTCCTGGCACAAACAACCCTGAGCTAAAAACAGCCCAAGCCAAACAACAGCAGCAGGCAGGGCAGGGCTCTGGCTCCTACCCTTTACTGTCAGGCAGCCTCCCACCTAAGGATAGCTGGCCCTGGCCCACTGAACACAGAGACCAGGACAGTGGGCTCCATACTCATCTAACTCACCCCAGGGCTAGGCTGAAGGATCCTGCTGGTAGTCCCAAGCAACTGGTCTGTGCCCATCTCCACTCTCCACAGGGTGACATGAAGAAGGCCCCTCCATGCCCAGCAGAAGCCTCCTAAAATCGAAGGGCTCCCATCTTGATCCTGGGGAGGGCCAGATATGCCTAGTTCTCTCTAGTTTGACAAATCAGAACAATCAAGGGAAAGGGCCTAGATAAAATCAGGTTCTGTCTTGCACTCACCATGTAGCCTTCTTGTCTCTAGGCCTCAGCTTCCCTGGCCTGTCCCATGAGGGGGCTGAGTGGTATGGTCAGTAAGAGCTCTGAGCCTTGGCTGTCTCCCTTGAAGCTTGGCAGTAGACTGGGCAGAAGGGACAGGAATTGCAGGTCCATGGGTGACTATGTGCCCTGCAGGGCCAGTGGCTGGAAGAGGTGCGGCTCAAACCCATTCTTGCCAGCACCAGGCGGCATAGCCCAGTGACTGAGGGAGCTGTGGAGGTGAAGTATGATGGCCACTGGCGGCAGGTGTGTGATCAGGGCTGGACCATGAACAACAGCAGAGTGGTGTGTGGGATGTTGGGCTTCCCCAGCGAGCAGCCTATCAACAGCCACTACTACAGGTAGGATGGCAGCTGGGCCTTGGGCTCACCGGGGCAGTGGCTGAGTGTGTGTGCGCACACTTACATCGTGATGTGCATGTGGCGTGATGTTCGGAGTGTGCACGAGTGTTATTGTGTACATATGCTCGTGAGATTCATGTGAGTGTGCACATGAGTGTGTGGGGCACGTGGGACCATATAGAGTTCCATGAGGACTGTAGGGACTGACTGAGTGTGGCAGGACATTCAATAGGTGTTGGGATTGGGAGAGACATAAGACCAAATGAGGAATATGCCTGAATTTCCTGGGTTTATGGATTACTCAGAGTAATGAAGAGGAACATGAGGGTGAACTTCAAGATGCTGGGAAATACCTAGAAACAGAAAAACAGGCTACAGTACAGAATAGCCCCACAGTGAAAACTATTGCATATGAAACTGTCCGTGATTTTAAAAACAGACTTTCCTAAAGATACTTTCAGTGATACACAAGTACAGTTTGGACAAACATCCTGGTTTCAGCTCAGCCAGCAGATAGTTCTGAGAGCTGGGACAGGCCCTTGGGGGCTTGATACTCCAGTCCACTGCAAATTATCCCAACTTTGCCACAGCACATGTCCCTAGCTCTGATCCAAGCCAAGCTGGGTTATATATAAGCAAGGCATGGGTTGGGGTGGGTACTGTGAGAAACGTGACTGAACTGGCGCAGCAGATTGCATCAGCCTGGTGGATGTGAACCAGCAAACAGCTCTGCCCTGTCAGTGAAGAGTCTGTTCAAGAAATCTCCCATAGTACGTCTGAGTCATCTGCCTTGTCTGCCCCAACCAGTTTTAGTCATGCTTCACTTAAGGGGTTGGAAGTCCTTGCTGTTCTTTGTGTCTCTGACTTAGGTAGCCCTGTCCTGAAGAAAGAGGGGTGGTGGTCAGCCATATGGCTCCACCCTGGGGAATAACTGGGATGTGGGTCTGACTCCCCAGTGCCTAGTAATTGCACATCTGGGCCTTGCTGACTCACTCGCCACCCATGAAGGTGGCCCTGATTATAGCCTGGCTGCCTTTGGTGGGCAGCCCCTACCAGCAGGGCCTTCACCTTCCACCTGTCCCCAGAGGACATTTCCACTAGCTCTTGTGGCACTCTGCACAGGCCCCCCTTCATCTAGACTGAGTTGCCTGTCCCAGGGACAGCCCAGTACAGGAGACCATACTTTAGGACTAGCTGAAGGCCCTTGCTTGCCTCTCTTGTAAATCATTAGTTGTGAAGTAGCACCCCCCCCATCAAGACTCCTGTGATGCTGAGCATTGAAATAAGATTACAAGTTTACAAACTGTGAAGTCCTGTGCAAAACTGAGGAGCTATGAGGAGAGAGCACTGGAGGGGGTGGGACTTATGCACCTCTTTACCTCCCATCCATTTTCCCCAACAGGAAAGTCTGGAATCTGAAAATGAAGGATCCCAAGTATAGGTGAGAAGCAGTACCCTAGAGGGAGGATGTAAGGTGTGGCTTGAAGGATCTCCATCCCCTCCCCTCCCCACCCCACCTCATTCCTGCCCTCCGATTTGGCTTCCCTTAGCCCCAAAGCTCTTCCCTCAACTCTTCCTCCACCCTCAGTCTCTCTTGTCCCCCAGGCTCAACAGCCTGGCCAATAAGAATTCCTTTTGGATTCACCGAGTCAACTGCCTAGGGACAGAGCCTCACATGGCCAACTGCCAGGTGCAGGTGGCTCCAGCACGGGGCAAGCTGCATCCAGCCTGTCCAGGTGGCATGCATGCTGTGGTCAGCTGTGTGGCAGGGCCTCGCTTCCGCCCACCAAAGATGAAGCCACGACGCAAGGAGTCCTGGGGAGAGGTGAGCCCCAAGGGGCTGTACAGGTCTGTTCTCAGCAGGACTCTGCCTAGTGTGTGGGCAAGGGTGGCTCTAGAACAGGAAGGAGAAAGGAACCAGACTTGAATTACAGTATGGTAGAACCTTGGAGTTTATTTTAAAGGGATCATTTATATTCCTACCATAAATGGAAAGCTGACATCACCAGCCTTGAATGGAAGGTGACCATAAAAACAGTAATTAACTCCTAACTATAACCAGTTGAGGGCTGAAGTATGGAACCTGAGCCTGGCCCTTTGCTATAAATAGTAGATGAGCAAGTGCTAAAGAGGTGTTCCAGATACTTTAGCACCATACCAGGACAGGCTCCTTGAAGATGTTGTAAGAACTGACGTGGAAGAAATGGAGGTCAGGAAAAAATGCTTACTCAAGGTGGTAGCTCCTTAAGGTCAGAGGCAGGACTTGACCTCCTGGTCATTAGCTCTGGCCACCCTGGCCACCTCCTCTCCTGCTCTATCTGAAGCAGGTGTTCTCCCAGCAGGAACCCAGGGTGCGCCTGCGCTCCGGGGCCCAAGTGGGCGAGGGCCGGGTGGAAGTGCTCGTGAACCACCAGTGGGGCACAGTCTGTGACCACAGGTGGAACCTCATCTCTGCCAGCGTTGTGTGTCGTCAGCTTGGCTTTGGCTCTGCTCGGGAGGCCCTCTTTGGGGCCCAGCTGGGCCAAGGTAAGTAAGGTGGCCTTGGGGGGAGATGGCAAGGTCTGGATATGCTGCTGGTCCATCTCTTGGTAGCCCCAGGGTACCAGGGCCCAGAACAAAACATTCTCCTCTTGATAGAGGGGGAGCCACAGGTGTGGGGTTAAAGAGCTAGAGCCTCACACAGCACCTCTGTCCCCCACCCTCAGGGCTAGGGCCCATCCACCTGAGTGAAGTACGCTGCAGGGGACATGAGCGGACCCTCAGTGACTGCCTGGCCTTGAAAGGACCCCAGAATGGTTGTCAACATGAGAATGATGCTGCTGTTAGGTGCAATGTCCCTAACATGGGCTTCCAGAATCAGGTGAGTTCAAGTCTGAGCATGACCTCAAGCTAGGAGACTGGGAAATTCTGGGGAACCCCCAGGACTAGACACTGAGCTAGCAGGGTGAGAATGACCAGAGGCACAAGTGCTACAGCCTCAGGCCTTAGACCACCTTCCCAGGGAGCCAGTCTGGGAAGCCCTTTCCTCTTTGTGTCTCACTTGGCCTGGCTTACACCCCATCAGGGATATCAGAAGGTGCCTAGCAGGAGAGCCATAGGACTGTTGGCACCAGGGACTGGTTGACATAGCTAAGACAGTGTGGAATGTTCAGGTTCAAGCATAAGTGCTAACATGGGGCATGGGCAAGTTGCTGGTGTCTCTGTAAAATGGGGTTAACACTCTTGGGGTCATTGTGAATGAGGCAAGACAGGTTCTGCAAGGCAGAACCTTGGTTTGTCTAGGCCAGGGGTCCTCAAACTTTTTAAAGGGCTAGTTCACTGTCCCTCAGACCATTGGAGGGCTGGACTGCGGGCCCCAGGACAAGTCAGCTGCTAAGCAGGACAGGCAGCAGCAACAAAAACACCCGGCAGGCTGGATACATGTCCTCGGTGGGCCGCAGTTTGAGGATGCCTGGTTTAGGCCCTTTCCCTCAATGGCAAGTTGTCATCAATGACAGGATTTTGGATGACCCAGCACAGACATTTTCAGTCAGATTTCTGACTGGACACTACCCAGTGAACTGGCCTCACTTTACAGAAACTACCAGCAGAGAAAGGGAGGGCCACAGAATGGGATGGCCAGGGCTGGCATCCAGCTCAGAGCCCTGGGCTCTTCCTCCCAAGGCTGCCATTCACATCCCTTTGACCACTGCAGGTGCGCCTGGCTGGGGGGCGCAGCCCCGAAGAAGGTGTGGTGGAGGTGCAGGTGGAGGTGAACGGGGTCCAACGCTGGGGGAGCGTGTGCAGTGACCACTGGGGGCTTACTGAAGCCATGGTGGCCTGCCGACAGCTTGGCCTGGGTTTTGCCAACCATGCCATCAAGGTAGGTCCCTGTCTAGCTCCTTCTCTACAACCTTTCAGCCTCCTGAACTGAGACTCAAAACTTCCTGGCCTGAAGTTGTTGCCTTTTTTTTCATTCAACATTTCATTATTGAGAGAAACTATGGACTGATACAATGCTGGGTGCTGGAGATAGTGTGATAAACCAGAAGACACTGTCCCTACCTCATAGAACATACAATTGCATGAAGGAGGTGGTCATTAATAAAATATTCACACAATCACCAAATACACAGTTGTGTCTCCAGGAAAGATGGATGGAAATTAGCTAAACAAGGTAGGGGAGGCATAAGTAACTTAAGCAAATATCCTGTTGGCAGAGAAAGATTGATTAGTTGAGGAAATTAGGACCCACAAGTTGGAGCATGGCTCTCAAGAGGAAAGCCCTGTGAAGTGTGAGGATGGCGGAGGATGCAGGGGCAAGGCCATAAAGTTTGCAATGCAGATTTTAAAGAGATTTCCTCCTTTGCTATTTGGAAAACAGATGGGGTGGAGACTAACATGACTGCAATCTCAGGAGGCTAGTATAGTAGCCCAGGTGAGAATGATGGCAGAGCAGATGCGGTTAGTATCAGCCCAGGGGTTTAAATGGATAGATTTCAAAGATAGAAAAATAATAAAAAAATCAAGAGACTTTGGGTATCATGGCAATGGAGAAAACTCTGCAACCACACCCACACTGGTGGTTTTTGCACAATGCCTGGCAGACCTCAACGAGGCTCAATTTTGAGCACAACCAAGTGTGAGGATGTATGAGGAACAGCTGGGAAAATAGGAGCACATCCCCTCTCCCCCACCTAGATGGGAGAGAAGGGAGCAGACCCAATCTCTTCAAAGGGTGAACGGCTGCCATCCGGGAGAAGGGGGAGGACAGGGCAAAGGTGAGTAAAAAGTAAAAGTCAGCGTGGTGGATTTTTGCCTCATTACATGGAAGAATTTCTAATATAAGATTCTGAATATTGCATGTACTGCTCCAGGGACTCAGTTTTCCCATCACCAAAGATGTTCAAGCCCAGGCTGAAAACAGCCTGGTGGTGGTGGTGGTAGAGGTAGGACTCACTAGAGTCCAGACCTCAAATAGAAGTCAAAGAAGGTGACTCCAAAGGCACCACTATGCCCTAACTGGGTGACACTGTTTTCTTAGGAAACCTGGTACTGGCAGGGGACGCCGGGGGCCGGAGAAGTTGTGATGAGCGGGGTGCGCTGCTCAGGCACAGAGCTGGCCCTGCAGCAATGCCAAAGGCACGGGCCAGTGCACTGCTCCCATGGCACCGGGCGCTCAGCTGGAGTCTCCTGCATGGACAGTGAGTTACCAGAGGGCCCACAGGGCCAGGGGACAGATGGGCTGCACTCCCCCTCAGAAAGGGTCCTGCATGCTGGTACCAGCTCTGCAGCTAACAGGGTTAGGGAATAGAAGCACTAGCTTTGCTATTTTCCAGCCACGTGTGGCCAAATCACCTGTCACATCAGGATACATACCCTGCTCTACTGATCTTACAGAGTCACTGTGAGAAAGAAAACTGAGCACAGGTGAAAGCACAGACACTGAACAGATATTGGTCATAACTGTTGGGATTATGACCAACTTATATTTAGCAAGGATAGCATTTTTTTCTTGGAGCTGTACATGTATATATTGGGTTATGACATTTTATATATATATATGTGTATATATATATACACATACTTACATTTTATATATATATATACACTTATTATTTATTTTTGAGACAGAGTCTCACTGTGTTGCCTAGGCTAAAGTGCCATGGCATCAGCCTAGTTCATAGCAACCTCAAATTCCTGGGCTTAAGCGATTCTCCCACCTCATCCTCCTGAGTAGCTAGGGCTGTAGGCACCCACCACAACACCTGGCTAACTTTTCTATTTTTAGTAGAGATGGGGTCTCCTTCTCATTCAGGTTGGTCTCAAACTCCTGACCTTAAAGGATTCTCCTGCCTCAGCCTCCCAGAGAGCTAGGATTATAGGTGTGAACCACCGCACCCAGCCCATAAAATATATTTCTTACTGTGGTTTGTTGTAAGCAAGAAAAGTTTGAAAGGTGCTTTAGAGGATATATATATGTAAGGCCCAGCTATGTGTTCTTTTCCTGAGCTTTAGGATTTTCCCAAGGGGCTTTGGGACAAGACCATTTGTGGCATCAGTATGCACTATAAACCCAGGTTCTCAGGGCAGTATCTTTGACATCTGCCAACTCGGTCTATGCCAAAATAACTGTATCTAGTCCAAAGGCTGTGGGTAGGCACCAACCCAAGTGGCCACTTGACCTTCTTCCCAGCCAAACTTCAATGCCAAGAAATTCTTAATCTTTGTCAGTGAGTCCCTGGCTTCCTCTCTGTCCACTGTACCCTTGCAAGAACAGCAGGCCCATCTATCACACCCTGCCCCACTCTGATGACAGGGCATTGGAGTGGGCCTCCCTAGCACCAAAGCTTCCCTGGACCTTAAGAGCCTGCTCCCTTCTTGGGGGCTGCATGCTTGCCCCTGTTCTGCCTACGGTGGCAGCTTTCCTCTTGAATGCATTTGATGCTCACATAGCTCGGCAGAGAACCGACCTACAGCCTCTGTAGCTGTCCCTAATTTTCCTTTCTGACATTTCTCATTTCTTTCTTTCCTTTCCTGTCTTCCTCTCATTCTCTCTCAACACTCTTTCCCTCAGAAACTCTCCAGGGTTTGCCAATGATCATTTCCTGGCTCTCTCCAATACATACATAGGGTTTCTAGAGCATTTCTAGTACTAGTACTGGCAAAGTATCCACATTAGCTATCGGCGGACTTTTCTGGGAGGTTTACATGAGCTAAGTTACATAAAGGCACTTTACAAGCATACAAGCATTTTACAAAAGAAAATACTAGCTTATATCAATTGCATGTTTACAATGGTCTGAGCAAGTTACAGGTATTACCACATTAATGTCACTACTATTAACTCCATCTTACAAGTGATAAAAATGAGAGTCAGAGGTTAAGTAGACACAGAGCTAATAAATGATAGTCAGAAATTAAACCAAGAATAAACCCAGGTGGCCTGGCTCCAAAGCTAGCAAGCTGAACCAGGACACTGTAGCTGCCTCCCAAGTTAAGGCAATATATTGTCCCTTTTGTTGTTATTAGAACTTACATATCCTGACTCTTAAAATGCTTTGTTTTCTGGGATCCTCCTGGAGGGCTTAGTCTGGGGTAAGCCTGTCCTCCATGCTGGAGAGCAAGACTGGCTGCCTTCCTACCCTTTGCAACATGATCATCCCTTTTGCCTGCCCCAGGTGCTCCAGACCTAGTGATGAATGCTCAACTGGTGCAGCAGACAGCCTACTTGGAGGACCGCCCACTTAGCCTGCTGTACTGTGCCCATGAAGAGAACTGCCTCTCCCAGTCTGCTGACCACATGGACTGGCCCTATGGACACCGGCGCCTACTGCGCTTCTCCACGCAGATCTACAACCTGGGTCGAGCTGACTTTCGTCCAAAGACCGGACGCCACAGCTGGATTTGGCACCAGTGCCACAGGTTAGTGCTGGCCATGCCTTGACTCTAGAGGGTTGGGAAGAAAAAGCAGCATCCAGGAATCAAACAATTTGGTCCTTCTCTTCTGGCTTCAGGAGTGTGTGCTCCAGGTAAGTCTGGAAGAGACTTGTGCAGGGAATGCTAACAACATCCACCTACCCTCTCCATCTCTCTGGCCTTCCCTGAGATGTACCCATGTTGACGGTGCTCATGGAATTTTCCCACAGCAATGTCCACAGAGAAGTCATTACCAGAAGAGTTGGTTCCTGTTAAAATGGTATTTGACAACTGTCCTATGTTGGACCATCTACAGGCCTTGTCTCGGAAGCCATGTAAAGTGGGGACTTCCAGAAACCTGGAGGCCCAAATAGATATATATCCCATCCAGGATGCTGGTGCTGCAGAAATAGCTCGCTAGTTTCAGCAGCAGCAAGGCAAGGCTGCACAAAATAGCATGAACAGACTGCTACTAAAAAGAGGACAATGAGCATCCTTTCCTATCAGGAGCTTCCAGACCAGAGAGAGGGAGAGACAATGCCTGTGAAAAAGACAGAAGGAAAATTATTTTTTTCTTCAGGACACAGCTATGGGTGGGGAAAGCTGAGAAGAATGAGCAACAACTTTGGGACTCTGCCTTGCCTGAGATAATAAATACCTTTCCTTGTAGCATGAACAGAGTTGTCATTATAACTGGATTGGACACAATGGTAGCAATTTGGTCCCAGGCAGACAGGGAACAAAGCTCCCAGCAGTCCAGCTCCTAGGCTGGTCCCTGAATCAAATGCCCCCTCTTTCTACTTCCCGTCAGGCCTTGCATCAGGCTCCAGTCTCCTGGAGGCTACCAGGGGAGGGGCATACCTCTCCATACCTGGGGTAAAACCCTAGAACCCTAAGTGATGGCAGTGGTGCCAGCAAAGTAGGCTGTGGGTCACAGTAATCTTGGGTTTGGAAGGGAGAAGGGAACTTCCCTGCTACTGTAACTTTCTTGTCAGAGTAATGATGGGGCCTAATACCTCAGTCTTACCTGCCAACTCCCATGGGCTGACAGCTCTACCTCTTCTACAGGCACTACCACAGCATTGAGGTCTTCACCCACTATGACCTGCTTACTCTCAATGGCTCCAAGGTGGCTGAAGGGCACAAGGCCAGCTTCTGTTTAGAGGACACGAATTGCCCAACAGGTATGTGGTTTCCTGCCAGCATATCCTGGGACCAAGCTCCCTCTGCCCTGTTCAACAACCCCAGGTACTTGGGAGACCCTGGCTTGAAAGTTAGCACTCAAGACAACTAAAAAAGATCAGTTTCTTACCTTCTGAAAGCTCACGCAGGGTTTTTACTTTCTTTGGATTCCCAGAGGAAATACACTTTGTACCACTTTAAAAATGCTTAGCACTTTGTAGCTTGGGCAGTAGTTGCAGACCTGTCTCATCTCTGCTAAGCTCCCTGAGGGCAGGAATTGTCTGATTCCTGTGCATGCCACAGTCCCTATCCTTTAGGAAAGGCTGGTAAACACTGGATCTTTAGAGGGTTGGATGGATGGATGGATGGAAAAATAAATTAGCAGAGTAGAGGTGGACTCTCAGCCACATTTCCTAGACCAATGGAGATTTGCACTAGAGCATCCGAAGTAAAAATCTTTTTCACAAATATGGTTTGCTATGATGCTTAATTTACAGTAGAAATTCTGGGGCTGATATGCAAACAAGTCGTTTAACTGAACCTCAGGTCTCTAATCTGCCAACCAGGCATAACTGCACTGAACTGATAAAGCTGGTGTTAGGATTAAATGATAAGTTATGTGAAAGATCTAAGAATGCTGGGTGCTGAGTACCTCTCAGTGCCTCAGCAACTGTCTGTAACCTTCCTTACAGGACTGCAGCGGCGCTATGCGTGTGCCAATTTTGGAGAACAGGGAGTGACCGTAGGCTGCTGGGATACCTACCGGCATGACATTGATTGCCAATGGGTGGATATCACAGATGTGGGCCCTGGGGACTATATCTTCCAGGTAAGGAGGCTGGGGACTCTCCACAGGGCCCATTTCCTCCAGATGTTCCTGAAGTCAAATGAAAGAAAGTTTCACACATAATATCCCCAACAAGCCTGTCACTTGACAGGGCTGTGCTACTGGGGAAAGAATACTCAATCAGGAGCCATACAAGGTGGGTTTGAGTCCTGATTAAATGGTTGTGACTTCTCAGCCCCCATCTATAAGATGGGGGACATTAACACCTACCTCTGAGGGTGACTGTATGAACTGATGAAGCTACATGAGATGTAAGGGAGCATTATAGCCACTATCAACTCATTCAGAAACCTGATCACCCATTTTCAGTAGCCTCCCTCTCATTGCAGGTGGTTGTGAACCCTAAGTATGAGGTGGCAGAGTCAGATTTCTCCAACAACATGATGCGTTGCCGCTGCAAGTACGACGGGCAGCGGGTCTGGCTACACAACTGCCACACAGGTAACTCTAAGCCAATGCAGAGCAGCCTTGTGTGGGCTCAGGGAGCTGGAATACTAAGTGTATTCCCTCCCCAAGGAGGACTTGTACATATAAAAGGCTAGGGGTGGACCAGAGATGAATTTCCTTTGTCATCTTCACATGGAGATGTCTAGAACTGGTCAGACTATCGGCCTTCCCAATAACTACTTCTATATTCCTGTTTGCTAAACTTTAAGGCTGCTCAACTGTAAAGTTACAGTCTCTCCTACAAATTTCCTATCACAAGCCATGTCAGGATTTTTCTCTTCCAGATCATTATTTTCCCCTTGTTTTTCATAGTCTTTCTCAGCTCCCTCTATCCTAAACTGAGTACCTACCTCACAGGCAAAAGTAGAAGTCCCCTTATACTGTGTTGCTGTCTTCAGCTGTGGTTACTGCTCATAAGAAGGGAACATGGAGAATAGGGACATTTACAGAATTGGTAGCATCAGATAAAGGAAGCAGCATGATCCAACCAGGGGTTAAAGTAAGGTGGCTTTTCTACTTATTAGCAAAGAATCCCTCTATCTTCAAGTATTAAAAAAAATGTCTGTATTTACTACAGGGTGTGGCCATTCATACCCATACTTACCTATGTTTGGGGGAGTGGGATAGAGGTGCTCATTCAATAAACAGACATTTACGGAAGCCTAAGACTGTGTTGAACATAAGTGTAAGACAGGTGCTCAGTGTCAAGTTGGGCATGAACACATGCCAATAGGTAACCCCAATACCACTGAGTGCCCAAGATAGATATGAACTAAATGCTGAGCAAACAGAGAATGCAACAAGCTGGGGGCTAGAACAGGTTTTGAAGGAAGTGACATTTGAGCGGGGTTTCAAAGGAGCAGAAGGCAAGAAGAGGAGAACGAGCATAGGATGGACTTCAGAAGGCTTCTTGGGGTCCAAAATCCAGTCCTACCACTTGCAAGCTGGAGGGCATTGTGGAAAGCGCAACTTGAGTTTTCTCTTTTGGAAAATGGGGCTATGTACTTCAAGCCTACTAAGTACTAAAGTTTTTTTGCAGGAAGGCTTATGAGAAAGGATTTTATTCTGTGGGCTTCTGGGAATTACTGACAAATTTCAGAGAAACAAAAGATCATTTATGTTTTCATCAAATAACTAACAACAGATGGAAGACAGAATGAAAAGAGGAAGAATAGTCTAAGGTTCTGTATTTGTGTGACTTAAGTAGATTCTGTCAAGAGGGTATATATGATCCAAACCTGTGTACATGGAGACAGAAGATTTTCCATAATGCTGGAATCAAGCTGCATGGGATCCAGGCAGTGATGAGGGAAAGAAAAATGCCATTCCGTAGCTTCTCTTGCCAGTGATTAGAGAGCCATCACTATTTTTGCAGAAAACAGAAGGCACACTCAGGTGAAAGTCTGAATTTATTTAATGAGAAGACTGTTTATAGAGGAGTGCACTGGGCTAAGGAGTGAGGGAGGTTGAAGCACCCAGGTATAAGCAGGAGTAGAAAACTGCCACCAGCTTTAGGATGGAAGGGGCAAGGGCTGTCCTGGAGTCAGGTGAAAACTAGAGCTGTGGAGGAAGGTGACCCTGGCTGGAGCTGGAGTCACAGACTGTCACTCTGAGAACTGCAGGGCTAACACATCAAAGTACCTGACCTCTCTTTCTACCCTTTAACCTCCTATTGCTTCCCATTAAAGTAACTCAGTCAGAAAAGAGAGGATGAGGAAGCCAGAATGGTGTAATCTCTAGGGGTCAGTCTCCCAAGGAACAGAGAAAACTAAGGACAAAGAAGGAATCTGGGGGGGCAGGGCAGGGGTGAAGGAAAACAACCAGCACAACCTCTCCACTCAAAAGCCTATATATCCTGATGGCTGAACGACACACTTATCCAGGTCTACTTCTATAGAATGACTGGTGTCTGCCCATGACTGACCTGACAGAAAGGACAAGCTAGGCAGAATGGACGTATGTGAAGTTGTCAGGGAAAGGATGAGACTGTGGCAGGGTTGCTACTTACCTATTTTCCTTTGACCCATAGGAGATTCGTACCCAGCCGATACAGAACACTCCCTGGAGCAGGAACAGCGTCTTAGAAACAACCTCATCTGAAGACACCACTGCACGTTACCAGCTGCTGTCCACACATCAGATACCTCAGCTTTTTGGAGCCATGCCCTTCATGGAGCCCTAATTCAGAGGAAAAGGGGCCAGTGCCAAGGGGCATCAAGAACCTGCTCAGGAAGCCTTTTGATGGCAAGATCACCAATCCAGATGGTACTGCTCCCACAGGATGGCTCTGGCCGGTTCCCTAAGAGCCTGTAGCCTATATGCATCTTGGCCTTGAGGCTTGGCTCAGCTGACCTCTCTTCCATAAGGAGAACCAATCTTTCCTGGATCTTGCTGCAGAGTTCCCGGGTTTAGGAGCTCTCATTTCCGTAGGGATGAACTTTGGCCCAGTTTCCCATCTAAGTGATGCCTTGCAAATGTCTTAGAGGAGAAGAATTCAGAGGACCAAAATACATAGCAGGTGGGGTTAGCTCTCTGCTAGGAGCACAGACCAATATAACTTGTGTCAAAGTCACAACTAGCAGAGAAGCTGGTGAATTCTGTCCCTTGCTTCATAGGTCTTCATTTAGAACTCACTTCACACACACTGCTAAGAGTCTACTTTTCAGTGTCCTAATCTTAATCCTACCCTACACATGGGTATTTCTGACTCTCCTGGAAGCTAAGGCCTCAGGCATCCTTCCTGCCTGAACAGCCAACATCACCAGTTAATGAGTGCTTGAGAAGAGGCAAATTTCACAGAAGTGGCCCAGTGCCTTCCCACAGAGCAACTAAGAGTAGGCCTTAGAAAGACTGTTGAGGTAATATGGACCCCACTCCCCACCAAGAAAAAAGTGTGTGCCATTTATCTGGCAAGCAATCCAATCTCTCTCAGGATCACTATAATCACAGGATTGGCCTAAATTCCAAGTCTCAACAAGTGTCTGGAAGGAATTTTGCATTGAATTAAATTTTGCAATGGAAAAAAACATCGGTCAAACAAGCCACTCATCTCTACAGAAATACATAGACAGGTCTGGTAGAATGAGGGACAGAAAACCACAAAGACTCAATTTTGTTAAGGATGGAACCCGTGAAAGAACACCATCTCTGCTTGATGTGGTTGTGATATGCTCTTGCTCAGGTAGTATTGTCCCGTGGTCTTCTTGACATGATTCTTGAGCTTTTGTCCACTGAGACACACTTAGGAGATATCTGTACAGGTCTGACGTCTTAATGCCAATAAAGGTTGTTCATTATAGACGGCTACAAAGACAAGACCAGCTGTGCTTATGTATACTTGCCACAGAGCAATCTGACCCCTTCTCATTCCCATTGAGCTGGGGACTAGGGTGCACATGGAATGTATACTATTCATGGCAGCCCCAGTATGTTTCTCTAATCAGATTATTGGCTGATTGTCTCTTTTCCAATTACCCTCCTCTGGCTCAATGCAACTTGAAAAGGTAAAGGATGAAAGGTAGGGGCAAGAAGGTAAAATCCAAGGATTATAAACTTGTATAACTAAACTGCAAAGCCAAAGTAAGTGGAAGCAGACAAGGCAGATTTATAACAGTACTCCCTTCCCTATATCACAAGATTTACTACCCTTCCTTAGGGAGTAAAAATAGACATGTTCTGGGGGTTCCCTCTATAAATACAAAGAAGCATTTTCTTCCTTTTCCCTGACATTCTTCTCAACTCCTTCACCCCCTTCTTAGGCAGAAAGAACATGATATTTTGGCATGGCAGAGTTTAAGTAAATAAGGGAAGGACTGATTTCCTGTTGGAGCCAGCAAACATCCCCTCAACAGTAACAACATTATATTCACACATGCAGCTAATGGTCTGTGAAAGAATGTGCAGCTAGCAGGGACACGTGTGGTGACTGATGACTAGATTCAGGCAGGGAGGTTACCCACAGCTTCTTGCTGGATCTAGTTTCCAAGAGAGCCAGAAAAAGCAGGCCAGGCAGACAGCCACTGGCTCTGGTCTCCGTCTTGCTGCCCACATCACATGTTTGATAGGTGCAGCAACTTCTGATTCTTGGAAAAAGCTATACAAGGGTTGTGTTGTTGTACCTCTAAGTTGAAAAAGCAGGACATGGGAAGACTGGTGGCTGGCATGACTTCTAACTAGATGAGGAATGTTAACAGAATACCAAACAACAAATTCCAGACAGAACCAAAAATGTCAGACGACTTTCACCTCAGCATACTTTAGCCTTAGGGAAACTAAAGAGCTAAGAATCTCAGCTAACTTGTCAGAAGGCTGATGTACCTTTATTCTACAAAGACCTTCACTTTATGAAGTATATATTTGAACTCATGGGAAATTTAACTTTCTATTATGAATTCCAGGTGATCCGGGGACTTAGATGTTCAGCACACAAGAAACAACACATATGCACAGCAGAGTGCATTAGCTGTCTTTCTGAATAACTAAGGAGCCAATTGTGCTCTCTAGATAACCTAGCTTATAAAGACATGGATTACATGTGGCCAAGGATTTGATTCCTATCCGGACAAGCTTGATATATTGTGCTAGGCCATGGCAGGACCCCCTACCTCTGCCTAGTATATATCAATCCCACTACTAGACTCATGTAACTAAAAAGCATTCTCTACTAATGGTAGAAGCACCTACATTCTGTGCTGACTGAAAAAAAAAAACAAAAAACAAAAAAACCTTTCTTTGCGTCTGGTTGTATAGATTAATCTGAAAGTCAGAGAAGGCTATTTTTTAGCTGAACAAAAAGAATAGGCTACAGCATTAAAATGAGAACCTAAGTAAGTTATGAGGATTACAAGAAAACTGGGTAATAAACATGGGAACTATATGTTGCCATTAACAATATTCTTGGGCCAGGCATGATGACTCGCGTCTGTAATCCTAGTAGTCTGGGAAGCTGAGGCGGTTGGATTGCTTGAACTCAAGAATTTGAGACCAGCCTGAGCAAGAGCAAGACTCCGCCTTTAAAAATAGCCAGGTGTTGTGGCAGGCACCTATAGTCTCAGCTACTTGGGAGGCTGAGGCAAGAGAATCACTTGAGCCCAAGAGTATGAGGTTGCTATGAGCTGTGATGCCATAGCACTCAACCGAGGGTGACAAAGTGAGACTATCTCAAAAAAAACAATGTTCTTAAGATCTAAAAAGCAGTCAGAAAGGAGAAACAGCCTCATAGGCAAATAAGAGGAGCATTCATGTTCTCTTTTTACTGTCCAAGCTCAGTCTCAGCCTTGAAGAATCAAAACAGAGCAAAGGTATAGCTCAGAGGTATGCCATTCAATATGGAGTGTGGCTGCAACTCCCTGCATTTCCTTTCAAATGCAGCCATCCTGTTCAAACAGCCCTGCCTATTTTAGAGAAGTCTCTTCCATAAAGACAGAGAATACAAGTCCTGTAGCTATAAGCAAAGAGAAGGTCAGTAAACAAAGCCCTAGAGGAGAGTGGGTCAAGAAAACAAGTTATTTAATCCCCAAACATGGCATGGAATCACTGAACATGAACACACAGAACTGACCAAGTATGAGAAAAGCAATGCTGAAGAACTCTTAAGACCTGAATAGCAGGAGAGAGTTAAGCCAGTACTAAGACCCAAGATAAGTGTCATTTAAGAAACATTTGAACAAAGCCCCATTCCACCATGTTCTAGGCAATGCTAATAATCCGTCACTGTCATGGGTGCTAAATCATTAAAAAATGAGGCTGCTGCTCTAGCAGAAAGCACAATGAGACACTTTGTTGCCAAGTCAGCCTAGTAAGGTCTAGCACTACCACTTCTTCAGTGAAGAACTACTTTCCCAAAACACTGAGAATACAGATATGAGATGATGGCTTTAACTTGCCCATGTCCTTTAGGAAATCTCTGACAGCCCAGAGGTGTTTATTTTATCCTGCCTGCTCGTCACTGCAACAGATAGCAAGGCTAAGCACCTCTGGCACAGGCTGAGAAGATCCCATGAAGAACATGCTGTGTGCCAGACGTCTTCTATAGGACGTCAGGTTTGACAAAGATGACAAGAGGCTGGTGTAAGGGTACAAAAGGAAGACAAGAAAGGGGGAGAGGAAATAGCATACACCAATCCTAGGATATTCACGTTTGTAGTATACTCTGAGGCAGAGAGATGATCGGCTCTCTATTCAGTGGGGTTCAATAAAAGCAATAAATCTATCTAACCCATGCACAGCATTATACAGAGAAAGATAAGACAAGAGCTACTGTCCTATCTTTTTGAGAGTAGAATGACAAACTTGACAAATACCAGAGTGGCATGTCATAAAATGGGCTTTAATGTTGTCCTTCTTCCAACATGATATAACTGCTTACACTGGAACTGGCACACAGCTCCCAAGGCCAGCCTATTGAGGAATGAATCTGGCTTGCCCTCTGGCTGCTCTGCAGCTGGAGCAGCCCTGGGCACTGAGCTCAGTATAAACTCTGGAGTCTAAATGCCCACATCTGCTGCAGCTCACCAACTTCAGAATTCTGGAACCGGCAGTACAGATTTCATGTATGAAGTACACCAGACACTGTTCTGTCTCTCTGTACTAATTACTCCCTGCCTATCCCCACCCCTGCTTCCAATACTGCTGTTCTCAATTTTGTCACATAAGGAAAGCTCTGTCTTTGCAGAGCCTAAAGCTCCCATCATTGCAGGTCTGAATCCTCTGTTTTGTATTTGTTTTTAAACATTGTGGAAGCGTGACCCACGCTAACATGACTTGCCCTATCAAGAGGACTCCTGGATATAACAGCTTCCATATTTCTTACTAGCTTATGGCTCACTACTATGCCCGCCACAGTAGGGCAATTCCAAAGACCTGCCATTTAGGAGCGAAGACAGGAGTGTATCTTCTTTCAATACCCAGTCCTTGTCTTGATGACTTTATCTCTGTAACATCCGCATCTGCATGTACACAGCTGTGGAAGGGAATCCTCTTATGTGAAGACTATGGGAACATTTTCTGATTCATGGAATTATCCCTTTCATTATGTTCACACTGCAGATTGGTCTCTGCCTTCCCAGATGTCTTCCCGTTGCTTGGCTTCTAACCGTTTTCTCTCTGTAAATAAGAGCAGTGTTAAACACAGTTATATACTTCACATGACCAATGACTTTCCCTTAGTCCAAACTATAAGACAAATTTTAATCATGAGATGAGTGGATATTCTGGGGTTCAGGACCTGGGCTCTCTTACCTGATTGCAAGAGTTAATACCTTTAATTTCCAAGTGCATTGTAAGTGTAAATGACACTTCTGTAAGTCTTTATGTTGATTACTATACACATATAAAAAAAAGAGAAAGATCTGGGGCTAAAAGAAATTCAAAGTATACAAAATAAGTCAAAAGCTAGGAGAACCCAGATTCTAGTCTTACAGATATATATTTAATACTACTTTTTAACTGTGTTTAACACTTCAATATAATTGCCCATTATTCCCAGTTTACTAATCTATAAATATTTCAGTAGGGATCAAGAATATATATTGATATTTTTCTACCTTATTGCTCAAATGCAGATAATAGCCCATGGGCTTTAATCATATCTCCCCTCTACAACCTTACTGAAAAAGTATTTCAGAGGCAAACCCAAATCCAATATTTTCAGAGCACTTCCCAGAAGCCAGCCATCTTTTAGAATACACAATTCCAAAATAGAAAAAATGACCACATATTGGAAGAAATCTAAGGATTATTTCTAAAAACAAAAATGTACAAAATCTGGGTAACACATCTTCAATTTTAATATAGACGCATGGCTCTCCATCTAACACTTCCACCAAGACCTGAGAAAATACAGGCTGTACATGGTTTAGTGACTCAAGCACTTCCTCAGGTGCCAAAATACCAGTTCTAGCTGCATGGCTGGTCATTTATCTTAATACCACAAAACAGTGATAAGCCTAAATCAAGGAGATGAGCCTAAATGCTTCCATCCAAGGGCTATTGTTCCAGATTGACAATGGCTGAAAAGATTCTGCAAGTCATGAACCAGGGGGAATTACAGAAATTAAGGTTTAACATTTGCTATTTTGACACATCTTTCCAAATCAGTAGAATCTCTTACAAATTCCTATACTATATTTGACTACACTTTAAGGGCAAAGAAGTTGGTTAAGAAGCTGACGGGCACTTGGAAATGTGAGAAAGAGAAATTCACTGCTATTTGGGCACCATCTTGTGGCATTATCTGAATACAGCAGCAAAGTTACATGAGGAAAAAAATGGGGGTCTGCAGCCAATTACAAATTGAAAGCTGGTTAGATGCAGTGTTCTGGTACTAAGGCAGACTTGAACTGACCTGGGATTCTCCAGGAAACATCATAAAGGATAACTGACTTGTCTAAAGAAGGAAGGCAGTGTAGTTTTGAAGTAAAGGGGAAATCTAAGGGTAAAGGCAGCCTTCAATGAAAGCAAAATAAACTGGTTCCAGGTTCTAAACAAAAGTGAAGAAACTAGAAAAGTGAATTATTAGAACTCAAGTTTTTCAATAAAGTATGAAACTTATATCATCAAAGTAAAATAAAAAGCTATAAGAAAAATCCAAGAGCGGTAGAAAAATATGATTTGCCTATAATCTACAATTCCAAAATCAGAACAGTTCTGAAGATAACATTTTTTTTTTAAAGCTTAGGGCCAAAACTCACTGATGGTATTGAATCTAACCTGAAAGGATGTAAGGCTATTTACAGTCTTCATAGATCTCATTTAATGTGAATAGTCATACACTTTTGCTACAGAAATATTAATGTGTTTGATCTGGTATTATGAAACATTATTATAAATATATTACCTTACTAAGATTTGAAAAGTTCAGAATTCTGAAGCATTTCCCACCCTAATGCTTTTTAATAAAAGACTATAGAAGTAAATTCTGATGGTAAACCATATGAAAAAACTAGTAAGAGAAGGAAGACAAATTGAGAAGTATAAAGTAACAGTGAAAATGTAAGGCATAAATCTAGAAATGCAGAATGTGAATAGAATAAAGAAACATAGGTTAGAATAGGACTTAAAAATGTCTTCAATGGAAGCTTTGAGAGCTTAAGTGACTTGTCTAAGGTTAATATAATCAGTGAAAGAACTGAAGCTAAAAGCCGCCTCCTTCTTAACAAGCACTGCCATCCTGACATCTGAATATACAATCCAAAAATATCTAAAAAGGAAAGGAAAAAAACTGTGAAAGAATATACTGATAAAAAAAAAAACATGTTTTCTTTTTATTAAAAAGATAGGAAAGCAGGTAATAATTGATATATCACATGAAAGAAGGCTCCCATTAACTTCATCCCCAATAATTAAAAAAGAAAACTAAGTAAAGAGAAAATCCAATAGCAATCATAAGGTCAAGGAACTAAGGGAGAATAGAAAATTTAGCACAAAATGATTAACCTAAAAATAGTCACATAAACTGGCCCAGAAAATGTTCATTCTCCAGTATAAAATATAAATCAACAGAAATGACTGGATCAAATGAACTGATAGAAGCACGGTACAGTTACCAATTCTCACTAGGGAAAAGAAAGCGTTAGATTAAAAAAGGGTCAATTTAGTGTCATGTTTTTAAAAAAAAATAATGAAGAAAAGGGAAATAAATGAAAGACTTTCAAAATTTTCTTCTACACCTCATCACAAAATCCACTTGTGGCCACCAAGAGAGACTAATAATCAACATGCTTTATGAAGAACACATCTGGTGAAACTAATCTAACTGCCTTCTTTTATGAAGTGACAGACCTAATCGAACAAGAATAAGGAAGCTAAGTAACCTCTTAATTTTAGCAAGGTTTTAGACTTTAAGTTTATCAAGTATTTGGATAATCATCAATATACTGAAAAAATATAGTCCAGATCTTGTAAGAGGGCACTTAACTCTGGAGAGCAAAATGTTTATCAATCAAAGCATCAACACAAGGAACTATGTATTGTTTACTTTAGCAATAGTTGGTGACCTGGTCAGTTACTCCTCAGTTATACATTTTTATCTCTGATCTAGGCAAAGAAATTAAGTTTGTTAAACAGTAATTAACACACACACACAAAAAAAAGGTTAAATATTGCATCACAGAAAAAAATTAATCATACTAAAACAAAAGAAAATGTGGTTAGAAATAAAGGGAACTTCAGACATCACAGGGAGAAAAGATAACAAGGAAATACTCTTAAGACCTCGATTATGAATCAGGAATGCAGTGTTATTCTTTAAGGCAAAATAATGGAAAGCCTAAAAAAGATTCCAGAAAGTAAAAACTATGATTGAATTTGTTTTACAGTTGATGAGCTATCTTAATAAAGATGGGAGTTCTATGTTATTAGTGACTTAATTAATCAAACTAGGTGAAAAGATTATTGCTTATTTATACTCTTGCCTTTTAGGCCTATGACCCAAAAGATGGTCTTTTAGAACCAGCCAATTAATCACCTACCCCTAAGGGTAGGATGGAAATAAATTATAAAATTATAGCAGGCACCGAAAATGAGAGGGTAGCTGATTATGAGAGGTAATATCTAGTTCCAATTTTAGATGGGAATGAAGTATATGAATAAGTGGAACATGAGAAATTTTTACACATATTCCTGATTTTGGTCTTAATAATGTGGCTTTATCATTTACTATGAATCACTGATTTAAAATGTGTGATTAAGTGAAAAACAAAGCACTCGAGAATGATCTATAATTTCCTTTCTCATTACTACTATTGATATAATCTGTTATATAAGCCAAAAGATATTTTTCCCATTTTTAGGGACTACATACTAAAGCTTTTTTCCTCCTGACATAGTATACGGTGTTATTTGCTTAAAATGATTGGGGTATTTCCTTCTCAATTCTTCCAAGAGTAGCTTCAATTTCCAAATCACTTTTTAAAAGACTAAGGCATAGTCTTTTAAAAAAAAAAGAATATCAAAGTTTGGTGAAAAATCTAGCAAAAAAGTACTTAACACTCAAAATCATAATTCCAAATTCATTAATTAAAAAGGTTTCATATGCCATGTTTAACTCTGGGTTTTAAAAAGAAATACATGGAGGGCTCGGCACCTATAGTTCAACCGGCTAAGGCGCCAGCCACGTACACCTAAGGTGGCGGGTTCGAATCCCCAGCCCGGGCCCGCCAAACAACAATGATGGCTGCAACCAAAAAATAGCCAGGCGTTATGGCGGGCGCCTGTGGTCCCAGCTACTTGGGAGGTGGAGGCAGGAGACTCACTTGAGCCCAGGAGTTGGAGGTTGCTGTGAGCTGTAATGCCAAGGCACTCTACCCAGGGGGATAGCTTGAGGCTCTGTCTCAAAAAAAAAAAGAAATACATGGAGGACTAAAAGTATTCAGAGAATATCATCCATCACAGCCTTAACATAACACAATATCATCATATGTTACACTGATTAGCTGGAGCTTCGTTCTAATCCACTCAAGCAACAAAAACCTTTCTATAGTTTTTAATTTTAAAATATTTATAACTGAAGAGGAAAAATCATTGCTTAAAATATCTAAAAGAAGTAGACACTTTCTTCCCTACTCACAGCAGATACCCCTACTAGATTGTGAGTCGTAAGGAAAGGAACAAAAATCTTGCCATCCCTCTAGTTCTCCTAAATAAGGAACACAATGTTTTGCACAAGGTAGATGCTCAGTGAATGTCAAATGGAATTGACAGAATAGAGGAATTTTAAAACAAAAGGAATAATGACAAAAAGCATGCATTAGAATTATTAATTAAAGCATATCATTAGATAGTAGATATTGCTACTATCACTAATAAATACAGCAATAGCTAATTCATTATAAGTTTATAGAAACAGAAATAAGAGAGAGTTCCTATGGTTTTTGAAGATGACTAAGTATCTTCCACAGATTATCTGAGCTGATTTCCATTTTATGAATGAGAAAACAGAGGTCTCTGGAGAGTAAGTAATTTGCTCAAGGTGAGACAGTCAGTAAGTGGCAAAGCTAAAATGTGAACCCAGGCAGTCTGATTCCAGAGTCTGTAAGGCTGTCTGTCAACTATGCTATATTGATCTCTCTGCCTCCAGTGGAAAAAGAAAAGATTTAGAACAAAAATATCTTTCACTTAATACCTAAGAAGTATTTTTACTTTCTACAGGAAAAAATAAAATCTTTAAGTGAGAAACCTCGGGCTCTAGGTAGAAAGCTCATGAGTATCTGGCCAATACAGAAAGATTCTAGAAAGAGATACATCAGTAAAGTTTCTAGATGCACTTCGTCAGACATGAAGAATGGGAGCGCTATGGAACATGATAAAGGTGTCCTCCTCTATAATCCATACAGCCTCAGCACCAATGGGCAGAAAGAACTTATCAACATGGGTGTCTATATTCTGTTTTGTTTTTTTTTTGAGACAGAGTCTCACTATGCCACCCTCAGTAGAGTGCCATGGTATCACAGCTCACAGTGACCTCAAACTCTTGGGCCTAAGCGATTCTCTTGCCTCAGTCTCCCAAGTAGCCTGGACTACAGTTGCCTGTCACAACTGTAGTCTGGCTATTTTTTTTGTTGTTGCAGCTGTCATTTTTGTTTAGCTGGCCTGGGCCGGGTTCGAACCCACCAGCCCCGGTGCATGCGGCCAGTGCTCTACTTACTGAGCTATGGATACCGCCCTGGTTCTCTATATTCACAAATAAAGGCCTTCTTTAGAAAAGTAACAGGGTATCTGCTTAGCCAACGGTCTCATTTTTAATTGCATCAGTGAAATGTCCTTTGTATAGCTCGACATTTAAAACAAATACTTCAAGTGGAGCTGCATGCTGATGTGCTTTGGAGAAAGAGAGAAGCATACTCAAATGATGTCCATGTAAAACAACTGCTACAGTATCTGTAGAGATACAGGTGATATTGCACCCAGAGGGAAGCATAATATATTGCAAAAGGAGTCATATCTCTTTTCTATAGATACTACTGTTATTGATCTTTTGAGATAATTGTGGTTATCACACAGAAATCATTTTCCACAGAGATAACCTATGAATAAAGGGTTAACAAGACTGCATGTCCTTCTTTAATCTAGTTCTGTCATGGCCATCTACAAAAACCAGAGGAATCCTTTTCTGTTTCTATAGTCTGTGAGAGGCCTTTGAGTGAACAATGCATTGGGAAAAATCAAAACTGCCTCATTATAATCATTAAGGTTTTGAAAATTAGTTGGGTCTGACTCTAAAACTCTAGCACCTGCCAAGACACACACTGTCACATTTATCTGGCCAGTGCAGCTGAGAGTCTACAAACTGCCTGCTATCACCAAAGCAGAGAGGACAGGAAGTATTAATAGCCTTGTTAGACCAGCAATAAACAAGGAGTTTGAAACTTCAATTCGTTTAATGGAAAAATGAAGCTACTTTTCAGTAAGTGGAATTTTCAGAATAAATTGCCTTCACAGATTCCACAGATTGTGGGCTAGGGCAATGAGACTGTCCAAAGCCTGAAGGCTGATAAAAAGTATTTAATTGCCAAGCAGGAGTCCCAAGCCTTTACATACAATTCAATAGCCTATTAAGGGGAGAGACAGATTTTTAACCTCAACTCCAAACTGTAAGGAAAGAAAAACCCTGCATGTGATCAGTGAAAATATTTCTCTGAGTGCTCTTGGATCCTAGAAAATAATCAGAAACAGGTAAATCTAGATGTGCTCTAATGAAGCCACTCAGGACTCTCTTAAAAAGACAAAAATACCTCCTAAAGTTGTTAACATCGATGTCAGTTGATGGCTTTTCCTTAATTTGTCTTCTTCCTCAGATCCAAACCATTTGACAACATCATGGCAATATCAGGGCAATCACAGCCCAGTAAAACTACAGTAAATGATGTTTTCTTCCTAGAAGACGATTAAGTCGTCACAGGAAAATTTTTCTCAGACTTTAGAGCAAAAACTGTAGAAAAAGCCATGAATGAGGTTAAAAGTACAAATCTATCTCTTGGAAAGCAAAGTAGAAGCATGGATTGGGATGCCTTGGATTGTAGAACAAATCCTGAAATGTCCTCATCCTGATTATAAGGCATGAAAATTTCTACACACTTGGGAAGTTTCTAGAAGTAGAATGACAAAATGGAATGGGCTTCATTCCTTTTTTATTTTTTATATGTACGTTTCAGTGTGAGCTCTAGAGGGACCGGAGAAGCACACTATTCCTTCAACTTACCTCGGGCTTCTTGCAGTTTCTTGAGCTCTGCTTCCCGTTCTGTTTTGCTCTGCTTACTTCGAACCCCAAGGGCACTGATGACTAACCTTCTGGCTAGGGCTGCTGAGGTCTCAGGACGCTCCTTTGCTGGCTGGAGGAACTCTGAAGAGAAGAAAGGGAGGGAGAAAGAGGGAGTAAGAACCGAAAGCACTCCAGCTCCAAGTGATTTAACTCAGTAATTAACATCCAAAATAGACTAACAAGGGCTGCATCAGCAGTAATTAATACAAGCCTGATAGATGATGATCAGAGGAAATTAACATGGCTAAGCACAAACAACCCTGGTTTCATTATCTGCATTAACACAATTTCTTACTGTGACTCTATAAAACGGCTAAACATAGAGGTAAACTAGGTAGGGATGTCATTGCAAACTGGTTGCTGCACTGCCTACAATTAGTATCTCACATTCTCCAAGTGGATACTAAGATGCTATATTTCCAATATGGCTGTTTCTCCTTTCTTTTTTTCCTTAAAAACATACTTCTTTTAACACTAAAAATAAAAATGATATTTCTTTAGAATTCTAGATGTTGTAAAATTGCTGGAAATAAAAATAACACCACTCAACAAGATTATGGGCTCACCAGCATAAGCTCTAGCTTTGGCCTTGGCTGCTCTTGTGGCCTGTGACAAGGGCCGGATCTTCACCATAGTGTGTTTAATACCTAGAGCATCACGAGCTGCAAAGAGGAATAAAGATTAGGAAGCAAAAAACGTGAAGTAGAGAGATACAAAGGGAAATTTAGGGCTAGTGCTCAGAAAGTATTCCTTAGATATTACACTTTTTCCCCCCATAACCAGTGAAAGAGATGGTAAGATCTAGACAATCTGTGAGGAAACTGGCAGTGATTATTTTAGATGAAGGATCAGTAGTAAACTATGGCTCTATGATCAAATCCAGCCAACCATGTGTTTTTGTAAATAAAATTTTATTGAAACAGCCATAACCATTTGTTTTTATATTGTCTATACCCACTTACTTGCTATAATAGCAGAGTCAAGTAATGACAGAGACTAGACGTCCCACAGCCTAACAACTAGTATTTACTATTTTGCCCTTTACAGAGCAAGTTTGCAGACCTGTATTTTAGGTAATTCTGAGAGGAACAAACAATACAACATCTCTAATTCTGAATACCTCTGCATCAGAGCTATTAAGGCTAATAAAATATGTGGGGGGGGGGAAGCCCTAATTAAAAAAAGGCCTAATCATATATTCAGAGAGTAAGTATTACAATTTCTCACTGAATAGGTTAAAGGCTACTTCAAATTCATCTGTCTGGGAGAAGAAAAACCCACAAATATTCTAAAATTTAGTCTCATTAGCTTCTTAAATCTCTACGTATAATTTGTTTATGTACTATCATGACTAACAGGTATGGAAATAACTTAAAAGGAATTAACAATCTCTTCAAATACCTTCAGTGAAAAGGTGAAAAGGCTCAGGGGCACAATACCAAGCATTACAAACCTGTATCTGTCCTATTACCTTTATTAACTGAATAAAATGCCAACTTGCTGGAACAGAAGGGAAACAGGAAAAAGCAGCATGAGAGAATGAACAATAAAAAAGGATCGCTGAACTCTATTGTGTGAGTACCTGTAATTGGACTGGAAAATACTCCTAGTGCGTGTGTATCATCCACCCATTTAATATCAAATCCTTTCTTCCTGCAACAAAAGAAAATAATTTTATTTCCTAAGCTAAAATTTATTTTATGAAACCTTCGAATTGAATCTCATAAAGTATTTCATGAAATAGAAACACTGAACAAGTGCACAGGTGGAATGGGGATAATGACACAAAAAACAGCTTGGAGGACATAAGAAGCCACTGAATTTTAAAAGCAATAATACCACCATAAAGAACTACCCAAGAGTATTTTACATTCTCAGCCATTTTATAGACATCAACCAATTAATCCTCACAAGTCCTTTGGGGCGGTGAAGTATTTAATGCACTATTTACAAGAGATGTTCTTATGGGGAAGAAACAAGAAAGGATGAAAGAGGAGGCAGAAGAAGGGTAGAAGAATATAAGAGAAGGAGGCAGCCAGGGAAGGTGAGCTGGATTTAATGCAAACGTAAACTCTGCCCTTCAGATGAGAGACAGAGAGATAGTAATATGTCATTCAAATTTTTAAAAAGTCAAGTAATGTGGGAAAAGGACAACTATAATCTGAGAGGTTGATCTATTTTTTCTAACTACAGAGAGGTTAAAAAAAGGGAGAGGGACAGAAAAGAACTGTGGCAAAGTCAGAAAAATTAAGGATAAAAAAAATGATAAGTATCAGACCAGATTAGAAAGAATCAAAAGAATGAACATTTAAGTACTAAGAAAACACTTTTATTTTGGAGCACAGCTGTATAATGACCATAAAGAATATCAGGATAATAACATAATAGTTATATTTTTCAACTACAAGCTTAAAACTGCTCATGGACTGAAGGTTCTGCTAACCTGAAACTTTTTATTTTTTTATTTTGAGATACAGTCTTATTTTGTCACCCTCGGCAGAGTGCTATGGTGTCACAGTTCACAGCAACCTCAAACTCTTGGGCTTAAGCAATGCTCTTGTCTCAGCCTCCCAAGTAGCTGGGACTATAGGCACCTACTACAATGCCTGGCTATGTTGTTGCTGTAGTTGTCGTTGTTGTTTAGCAGGCCTGGGCTGGGTTCGAACCCGCCAGCACCGGTGTATGTGGCTGGCACCCTAACCACATAAGGGCGCCAAGCTTTACTCTCTCTTTTTATGAGACAGTCTTGCTCTGTTGCCCCAGTTAGAGTGCAGAGACATGATCATAACTTACTGCAGTTTCAAACTTCTGGGCTCAAGCAAGCCTCCTGCCTCAGCTTCCCAAATAGCTGGGATTACCACCATCCTGGTTAGTGTTTCTTATTTTTTGGAGAGATGTTGCTTTGCTCTTGCTCAGCCTTGTCTCAAACTCCTGATTTCAAGCAATCCTTTTACCTCAGCCTCCCAAAAGTTCACGATTACAGGTTTGAGCCAAGGTGGCTGGCTAGGCCTAACCTCTCTTGAAGATAGGTTCGCTCATCTGTAGAAATGGGAATAGTTATCTTCCTCATAAAGATGTTGGGGAAAGGGAAATGAGATCACTCATGATAAGGTCAAAAACATGGTGTTAAGAATCCGCTAGATGAATGGTGCTGAGTATTTTTATTATTAATAGCAATGTTCATCAAGAAGAATACTAATATAAAGATAATGATTACAATATGAAGTTGACTCTGGTATTTGACTCACAGGTGTTTTTACAGGTTTTTGCATCAAGACCCCCTCCCTTTCTTCTAATTTTTACAACTCACTGTAAAGAAAAAAGACAAGTGTTGAAATATCTCTTCAACATTCATTCAACAAAAAATTCCTTTCAGGGAAAAAAGAATAAGGTAGTCTCTGAAGGTTAAAGAATTTCCTAAATATAAGGATAAATTTGACCATGGTATAAAATCACTATGCAGGTTGGTGATTGTGAAAAGTTAAACAGTAGAAGTCTAAATACAAAAAGGATAGGGAAAGACCTAGCTGGGTTTGGGAAAGTCTTTCAAACTTTGGAATTTCATAATCATTTCAAATTTGGGGAATGTTTTTGAAATTTGGCAGAAAAATGACTTGCAGGTAAGATTTTGAAGAAATAAAGCAAAAGGAAGGAAATAATTCAGATGAATTAACTAATATTCAGGCAATTTTAGATATCAACAAAATGATCCTTGGTTCTAAGAACTGTCATTATTAAAACAATCTAAGGTAGTTCTAATTTGGTATTTAATCTCACTGATTGCTCTTAAAAATCTATTATGAATCTATAGTGAACAGGCCCTGATACATGTACTGGTTCTTAATTGTAATGAATTATACTGAATCACCTATATTATATATTTAAAGTTTATGGTAGAAGAGATTAACTGTCCTCCAGAATCCACCTGCCCCTTCTTTCAATTATAGAATATTCACCCTCAATCAAGTTTAAGTGATTAACAAGTACTTTGCTGCTAGATAGTTTTGTTTGTTACAGAACTTTACATAAAAACAGAACACTTGTCCTTACAAATAAAGTTTTATTTTACAGCCACATTCATTTAATTATTATTTATGGCTATAGCAGAGTTGTCTAAAATACTTAATATCTGGTCTTTTAAGAAAAAGTTAGGAGCTTGGTGCCCATAGCTCAGTGAGTAGGGCATCAGCCACATACACGGAGGAGCCCGGCCCAGGCCTGCTAAACAACGACAACTGCAACCAAAAAAAATAGGTGGGCGCTGTGGCGGGCGCCTGTAGTCCCAGCTACTCAGGAGGCTGAGGCAAGAGAATTGCTTAAGCCCAAGAGTTTGAGGTTGCTGTGAGCTGTGATGCCATAGCACTCTACCAAGGATGACATAGTGAGATTACCAAGGACGACATAGTGAGACTCTGCCTCAAGAAAAAAAAAAAAAAGAAAGGAAAAAAAAAGTTAGGGGCTATACCCTAACTGACACAGAATCTTACAAATTAAAGACGTATATGAAGTGAATTTTAAATTTAAATTTGTTACATTACACAAAAGATCTATTTCATTTGTAACATCAGGAAATATTAAAGTCTAATCAATTCTTCATGATACTTTCTTTTAGACCTTGAAAATATCTTTTACTAGTAACTTTCTTTCTGGATTACCTTTGTATTACTGAAGCTAGAATACAGAGATATACTTCTGACTCTTTTATCTTCAATATACTTATCAATTATATACATACCACAAGTTAGTGTAATTGTTCTCAAGCTCACTTGAATCGGTTTGACTTCATATTTTGACTATGTGATTTAATTAAATAAAATGAAATTAATGAAATATGAGTGTAAAAAAGAGTAATTGTATCTATAAAGAACTTGGACAAGGCGAGGTTAGTGGCTCGTGCCTGTAATCCTAGCAGTTTGGGAGGCTTAGGTGGGAGGATCTCTTGAAGCCAAGCATCAAGATCTGCCTGGGTAACTCAGCAAGACCTCCATCTCTACAAAAAAAAATAAGAAAAATTAGCCAGGTGTGGTAGTGTGCTCCTATAGTCCCAGCTACTTGGGAGACTGAGGCAGGAAGGTTGTTTCAGTCCGGGAACTGGAGGTTACCATGAGCTATGATGATGTCATTCCGCTCTAGCCCGAGGAACAGAATGAGACCCTGTCTTAAACACAAACAAAAACACACACGACCCCTCCCCTGCAAAAAAAAACCTTAGTCAAATGCTTTGGAAGACTAGAGAAAAATAAAGTCACTAAAATTACTCCCTTCCCCCCAAAACCTATTATCAATTATGTTTGGGTAAAACACCTAAAATACAGAGAAACATTTTAGCCTATAAGTAATACGTGCTCAGTTGACCCTAAAGGTATGTTAATATTCTTACTCTGCTTTAAAGAAATGACACTAAATTGCAGATGAGGTATCAGAAGGGTGACTTACAACAATTCTTCTATCAATATACCAATACATAAAAAGTAGTATGTAGGGAGGGAGTCTGGCACCACATCAAAAAACCGACAAGCGAATAGACATCTGTGTGTGTAAAAATAGCTGAGACATCCAAGAATTTTTAAATCATTCTCCATTTCACTATTTCTGAGTGACCAGAAAAACATCCAATCAATCATTTAAGTTAAGAGTGTTTCTGAACTATTGTATACCCTCTCCGGAAAAACCCTTCGTTCAGTGTAGGCCTCCATTCCTATAAATAAAATTCCAAGGAAAACTACAGATTACAGTAAAAAATAAATAAATCCCCCAAAAGCAAGTCATTGAAAGCAAGAATTTACAGAAACAAAAGAAAACATACCAGAGAATATAATAGAAGGACTATGTTTAAAATACTTAAAGTATTAAAATATCTTAAAAAATATTTGAGAAACTGTAAAAAATGACCATGAAAAATTTGCAAAAGGAAAAAAGAACTTTGGAAAATAACTGTTCAGAATATAAGAGACAAATAGATGGAATATATGAAAAGACAGGTACCATGAGTACTAAATGAAAAGGTCTAAGATACATCTAATAGACATGTTAAAGGAAGTGAAAGTGAGACTGTAGTAAAGGCTACATACAGAGAGATAATATGTGAGAGGCTCCCCCAAATCCACAGATTTAATAAACCCAAATAATCTCAAGCAGAACTTTGAAAAAAAATTCAGAAAGCCCACAGCACAGTGAAAATACCAAAGACAAAGAGAAATCCTTAATAGTATCCAAAGAGAAAAGACAAAATATATTCAAAAAGGATAGCTATTAGACTATCAGCTGACTTCTCATCCAGAGAGACCCAGAAGACAGCAGAATAGTATCAAGTTTGTGAGACAAAAATAACTGCCAACTTAGAATTTATACTCAGCAAAAATGTCCTTCAAGAATAAAGCTAAAATAGTCATTAAAAAAAACGTGAGTTTGTTACTACCAGACCATCACTTCATTAAATTCTAAAGACTATGCCCCCTACAGGATAAAACTGATTTCAGCTGGGAAGGTATGAGATGTAAAAAAGCATAAACACATAAAGTGGGTAAATCTGAACACTGAATACATTAAACAATAATAATATCAAATGGAGTTTAAAAGAAAAAAAAAGGATCAAACAGTCACAATAACAGGTAAGTTGGAGGAGAGAGAGATGGGGAATAAAATTAAAAGCCCCTATATTGTTTAGAAAGAGGATAACAATTTTAACTTTAGATATTGATAAGTTAAACATGCATTCTCTAATTTCTAGTATAACAACCACCAAAGAACAGAAACACAGTATCACCACCACCCCCAAATCTAATGAGAAAAAAATACTAAAACAATCCAAAGGAAGGCCAGAGAAAAAGGATGGGACAAGTAAACACATATACACACACAGATGGCAGGAAATCTGACAATATATTATACAAATATAGCAATAATTATAAATATAAAAGGACTAAAGGTACTATGAAGTCACCACTGATGACAGTCTTCCTAAATACTAAAATGGGGTCTAAAAAGGCTATCTGGCATTTTTAAGGAACTTAGATGATTTTTCAAAAGACATTTTTCCAAAACTTCATCCTACCTTCCCTAACATCCTCAACCATTTGCATACTTACTGATAACTGCAGAAAACCCGCAGAAGGTCTTCAGTACGAAATTCTTGGGGGAAGTCATAAATTTCAATGACATGTGGGAATTCACAGTCACTGAGGTCAATATCAGGGACGTCGTGGTTGTAATAATCAAATCTAGGTTCCTGGATGTTTTCTCTGTTCTTTACATTCCCTGATAACTAGGGAGGAAGAAACACATAGTGATTGTTATATCAAACCTGGGCGTTATAAATGTTATTCCATATATAAACAATCCTCTGTCTCAAAGCACCCATTCCTTGACCTTTGCATTGTCACTATATAAATTCTGTTCATGGAGATAACTGTTCACCCAATTTATATTATACAAATAGAATACTTGAAAAGGTGTTGAAATTTCAGCAGACAGGCCATGTATGAAACTTGGAAACTGAATCTCAGATAATAGCTGAAGAGATAAATTAATATCATTTGTTTTAACTGAGTTTATTGATCAGGCTCATATCATAATTTCTTTTCTGGAAGTGAACAAAAACAAGCAAAATGTCAACAAAAAAATCAAAAAATTTTCTTTTTTGTTGACCATATTAAAGGGTGTAGTGATAGCTTAAAAAAGGAATTTTTTAAGACAAATGTAAAGTGGAACAAGTAATTATATTTAATGTCCCTACCATGACAGCTATCTTAAAGAATTCCCATATGGTAGGCTAGTGAAGGAATTAATAAAGGAAGTAATAAAAAATACTTAAAATTCTACATCCTATAAAAAAGCTGAAGGCTATTAACAACTTCGCACTGGAAGCAGGAGAAAGGAAAGTGGAAAGTAGCAGCTAAACTATGACAATCATTTGTCATTCACTAGTTATAAAACCTAGATGCTACTACTGAACACTCAAAGCCACCGTACCCTTATAGCATCTTTCTCTTTCCCTTTCTGTTAAATCAAAAGTCCAACTAGATCCCTTAGAATTTTCTCTCTTTTATAATATGCCTCTTTCCCCATGAAATGAGGAAAATAAGAATCTGAAATGCCAACACCAAGGATATATCTTCTTAAAGAAGAAAAAAATGGATTTAAGCTTTATATATACCAACAATAGTCAAGCTGAAAAAACAGTCAAGGACTCTATTCTGTTCACAG